GGGGGGGGGGGGGGGGGTCGTGGCTATGGCCGTTACAAACAGAATAGACTCAAACACCCAAGGCGCTCAAACACAGTTGAGGGTTTCTTCGTGTTTGGGTTTCGGTGTATACCTGATCCCAAAACCCTAAATCATGCGCCCTTTAAAGTTTGAGTTCAACCAGACTTGCAGCCGTCATGAGTGTTCAGCTCATTTAGCCCTACACCTTATTAACCCCCGTGAACACCTTAAACACACCCTAGATACCAAACTCGTATATGCCCTAACGGTGTATACCCTGCTTAACACATTTATGACGCGAAACACTTTAGCACGGGGCCGGCTTGCAAGTCAGGGTCTACGTTGAACCCTAGAAAACCCTTTCGACTCTTCCATAGGACTCGCCACAATTGTTTGAACCCCGTAAAACCGCATGACACCCTAAACANNAGAATAAACGTGCCTGTGGACGCCTACCAAATCCTCTCTGACTACATTCCAAGCAACCAAGCCCACATAAGAGCCTGTAAAGCTAGTATTGTAATATAATTCCATAATATTATATGGTATCATAGAATAAATATCACATAATATCATACGAAAAAGAATAATATAGTATATTATAATATACTATAATATACCATAAAATGATATAGTGTAACTTAATATGACATAACATGACATCCCTGAACCCTTCCTCTTGTCTCCGAGTTGCAGGGGGGCAGATCTTCTCTGTATCACTTCGAGGGCCGCAGGTTCGCAGTGAGCACGACAAACGCTGTGAGCCCAAAAGAAGCAAGCGTTCAGGGCTTGTAAGGTTTAGGGTTTAGGGTTTAGGGTTTAGCGTTCAGGGCTTGTAAGGTTTAGTCCTAAACCCGAAACCCTAACCCTAAACCCGCTTAGGGTCTTGGGCGGTTGAGGGTTCATAGGGCTTAGGGTTTTGGGTTTTGCCTTGAGGGCTCGCAAACCCTGTGCTGTTTAACGCCAACCCCCAAACCCCGAGCCAGAATCCTGCAGCAAAACCCTTGAAGTGCTGGGCTTCAACCCTGAAACCCAAAACACCTCTGAAACCCTTAACCCGGGGTTTAGGGCTTAGGGGTTTAGGGTTTAAGGGTTTAGGGTTTAGGAAACCACCGAGTCCTAAACCTTCAGTCGTAAACACGACCTCGTGAACCCAAAGCCCCAAACCTGATCCCTGAACTAGGCCCCTAAACCCTAAACCCTAAACCGGGCCTGTTTTGAGAGCCCCTGGAGTAAGTTTGGAGTTTAGGGTTTAGGGTTTAGGGTGGGGCTTCAAGGAACCCCGTCATGGAACCCCGATACCCTAACGGAACCGCGACTTTAGAGGAACCCTTAAAGGATCTCTTTAAATCCCTTCACAAAGGAACCCTTGAAGGATCTCTCTAACGGAACCCCTTAAAAGGATCCGATTTTAAAGGACACCTTAAAGGACGGACGCCTTGCAGGATCCCCCTTAAAGGAACCCTGAAAGGATTAAAGCCTCAACAGATCTCTTTAAAGGAACACTTGAAGATCCCTAAACGCCCTAAACCCTGCAGTGCCTCGCAGGAGCCACGAGCCATCGCCTTCCAAAGACCCGAAAGTTCTGAAGAACGGAAAAGAATAGCGTTCCTTTACGGGGATTCCTGCAAAAGGCTGCATAAGGTTTCTGGAGTAAGGATATGAATTAGGGTTTTATGGTTTTGATGTACTGCAGTGCTCTTTATAGTTGCACATGCATTTGCTTGGGGGGGTCATAATCCCGAATATCTTTAACTTGTATCCGATCTCTACCTTATCATGGTGTTGCGGTTTTGCTGGGATCTGGGATTTGACCTTTGTTGTGGGTACCTTGTCTAGGGACTCCAGCTTAGTCTCCCTGAATTGGACCTAGTTCGGTAGGGTTTAGGGTTTAGGAATTATAGACATAGTTCGGTTCAGGCTTGGCGTCATGCACCTGTTCCTGGGTTAGGGTGTGCATGAGGTTGGGGCTTTAGCCTTAGAGCCTCTTGTCATTAGTGTTGTTGCTGCCATTTGGCCATGATTCGGCTATGATCACCATGATCAGGACAGATCTGGCTTGCAATTGTGCTATGTGCTGCTAGTCTTGCAATGGCTTGAGCCCTCAGGGTGTAGGCTTGGTGGGTAAAGACTCGGGGTTTAGGGTTAAGGCTGAAGGAGTATAGACCCTGAAGCCCGAATCTTAACTCCTAATCCTTAGGGAGTTTCCAGAGTGCAGGCTGTCTGGATTGGTCGGTTTTACCCAACGCGTTCTGGGTTAAAGTGTTCCTGCTTTCTGGTGGTACTGTAGCAGATCGGCATATACGAGGGTTAGGGTAGAAGGGTTTAGGGCTAGGGTGTAGGGTTGGCCAGTAGGGTGTTGCTTCTAGGAATCAGGAGCCTGCTAGTGGCACTACTCATTATGACATAACTCATAGACGCAAGAATGCAGTAAAGTTGCTTCTTCAAGGGCGCTAGGTCAGGTAAGCATATCCAGCATCAAAGCCCGAAAACCCCAAACATAAGATGCAACCAACTTTCGCCGCTCAACAACTACCCATTCAACTCCTCAGTCTGGCTAAGTCTCTGAACCAATCCGAAACCTTTAGATAAACCATTCCGGAGCACTACAAAGCCTGAATAACACCTATAAGTCCAATTAAAAGAACCCTACGCCCTAAACCCTAAAACCCCATTTCTTCTAGCACGAGCCTATAAATCCCGCTAAATAAAGGAACCCTAAGCCCTAAACCCTAAAACCCCATTTCTTCTAGCACGAGCGCTGACGGTCGATGTCAGTTCGAAGGGCTGAAGGAGTCGCCGTGACTCATAGGAACCTCCATGGCTAATGGTCTAAATACCACACAACACTCGAGCCTGCTTGGGTTTTCAAGGCTAGGGTTTAGGGTTTAGGGTTTAGGGTTTAGAGTTTAGGGTTCAGGGTTTGGGGGTTTTATCGGCTTTAAGCGGGTTTGGGGCTTGTGTTTGCTTTAGGTGGGTTTGGTTTAGGGTTTAGGGTTTAGGGTTTTAGGGTTTAGGGTTTAGGGTTTAGGGTTTAGGATCTAGGTTAGGGTGTAGAGTTCAAGGTACAAGATCGGTTGAACCCTCACTCAAACTTATAGCCTACTTCAACCCCTGTGTTTCCAAACTACGGAAAAGAACTTCCGGAATGTCCGATAGAAGCTTCGCAGCTCCGGTTGAATTGACATAGTTTACAGTCTCGGCTCCTTGCATCAGCACACAAGACGACGGTCGGCTGTTCCGATCGTGTCAGCAACTATTGCGAAACTAACCAGCACGAAACTTTGGCCGGTGCACGTGGCATTGGGCAAGCTCTCTTGGGCTTCTGAGATTCGCTTAGGGTTTAGGGTTTAGGGTCTAGGTCCCGATTCAAAACACGAACGACGTTGCATTCTGCCTCAGCAAGCTGTCGTGAGCTTGAGCCATTCTCGAGCCCTTTGCTTGCTCCACAAAAGACCAACTGCAGCTACCCGGCTACGACGACAACCAGGAACCCTAAACCTTAAACCCTAAACCCTAAAACCTAAACCGTCGGAAGCTTCAAAGAGCTCATGGCTTGCATCTTCGATTCAGGACCATCATCATGAAGGCCGCTAGTCCGCACGGGACTCAACTTGTCGATTCAAGAATCGCTAGCTTTAGGTTTTAGGGTTTAGGGTCCTATTCGTACCGGTTTAAGGGCTTTAAAGTTTGATTGGGTTTAGTCTTGGAGAAGCTAGTAGTCTTTATGGTCATTGCTACCATCGCGTCTGTTGCTTTTCACATGCCGCGACAACTACATCAACCACCTCTACCCAAAACCCCCAAAAACCTCAACCCACACCCAAGGGGCTTGGAGATTCTGGACGTGTTAATTTTGAGAGCTGGGCTACTGCTTAGCTAAAGGCTGGATTCGTGTTAAGGGGTTTAGGGTTTGTAGGGTTTTGGGGCTTACAGGGCTTAAGGCTTCTAGGCTTCGGGGGTCTATAATATTCCGAAAACCAACTTGAGTCCTTTCCGCAGACTCCTAAGCCCTGCGCTGTCACAGTGGCGGATCACCAGGAATGGAAATGGCCAAGATCATCCAACGCCAGGGAATATACCGCTTCAGCATTTCAATAATCGAATTTCATCCTCCGACTTTGACGGATGACTCGAAGAAGCCTAAACCCTAAACCTTAAAACCCTACATCCTAAACCCAATGCCCTAAACCTTAAGATTGGTAGCTTGGAGTTTCCGCGTCGCATCTCAGATGGGAACTCCTAGCCCTCACTGCGTGCCCACATTCTTCACCCCAGCTTCCCCAACCCTGAACCCAAAACCCAAAACCCTAAGCCCAAAGCCTCAAACCCTAAACCCTAAGCCCAAAGCCCTAAGCCCTAAACCCTAAACCCTAAACCCTAAACCCTAAACCTAAGCCCTGAACTCCCCTATTCATCCCCGAACTCTGTGTCGAACTCAAGACAGGGACAGTCTGACCTTTCAGACCTCCGGATGAAGGGTAGTTTATGTAGGGGCCTTAATAATTAGGATAGGGTTCTGGGGCCCATTATACTATACTTATAATAAGGACCCCCCAAAATAGTATAGGTCATTATTTAAGCCCTTACATTATGTAGTGTTCAGATGCTTTCGGTGCTTAGGGTTTAGGGTCTAGGGCTTCATGGAATTTCAGAAGGTTTAGGGTTTAGGGTTTCGGGTGCTATAGAATTTCAGAAAGTTTAGGTTTAGGGTTTTGCAATTGCCAGCCTCGGCGGTTTTCCATTCGCAGGGCTTCTGGTGAGCGCAATCACAGGCGGTCCCATGGGCGATGTTTCGAAAGAGCTTACGAATTCGGGTATAGGGTTGTAGAGACCGCCTGAGGTGCAGAGACTTTCGCTGGCGGCTTCGTCAGCTGGGCCCTAACATGAGACTATGCGTCCTGTCCTGTGGACTGTGCTATACGGCTTCTAGAGTATGGATTTGTGTGATTTCGCGGGACTGTGCGCCTGCTGACCGGATCAGACCCTTCAAGCAGGAAACCATGAATTTGTCTATGATGTGTGTGGTGTTGTTGACGGTTTCACAATGCGAAAACACTATGTTCTGAACTATGCGTTGCATACATCTGTATACGGCTTATCGTTGTTGCACGTACGAAGACAGAGGTTGCAAAATGCAGGGCGTCGGTCTTGCTTGACGGTCATACGTAGACTATGTAAACCAATGACTTTAGCTCTTTGTCATCCTGCAAAACAAATCGAGTGAAACCGCGTGTAAACTCCCTACACCCCTTAAGACTCAGTGCGTTAGGACTCTGCCAACGAAACGTGGTGCAAGGTTTCTGCTCTTCTACCAGAAAGTACCCGAGTCTTGGCTGCAACTTAATGCAGCCGGTCGGGCAGTTGAAACGCGCCCCCGGTTTTTCAAAGCTGCCTTCAGCTTTGTCTTCCGAGGGCTGAAGAAAAACATGGCAAGAAACGATGCACGATGCCACTCCTGACCTCTCGCGCCTGCGTGCATGAAATATCAACAACAAGCAACTGCTTCCTCCTCACCCGACAACCATCACTCGACCTGACTCCACTCCTATATGCATAGCAGCACGAAAGAACTACTTTTCAGCGAGACGGGCTTATAAGACCTATAAGCCCTTCTCACTGAACGGAGAGGTTGCCTGCACGGTCCATTGGCGTGCCATCCACAAGGTAGCCCACATCCGCGGCATAGGTCGAAGCAGGTAGGGCCGATCCGGGGGTGTGCATGTCTGGCTGGATCGTCTCCTTAAGGCAACTACTGATTAGGACCTAGGGCACAGGGCTTTTCGGGCTTACAAAGCTTAGGGATTCTAATTCTAGGGCTTAGGGCCCTCGGTCTCCTTACAGCAAGTCCTCACTGCGCTGGAATCGCTGGATGCACAGAAACCTTGGAACCTTCCAGAGCAACTGTACCCCAAACCCGACGTCCCGAAGATATCCGAAAAAATCCCTACCTCCTACACCGCCCCAGAAAATTTCGCAGCCCGAAACCCTAAACCCGAAGGAGCCCAGGGCAGACTTCTGGCGAAGTGGCCGGATGGTTCACCGCGTTTCCGGCCTTCCAGCGAGGTTGAATTCTCAATGTACGACCCAGAACCCCAAACTGAAACCCAAATTGGGGCTTAGGGTTGAGAGTTTAAGTTTAGAAACCCAAACCCCAAGCCATAAACCCTAACTTGTAGACCCTAAAAATATAGAACCCTGGAGTAACATTACAGACTCCTTCAAGGAACCACTCAAGGAAGCCTATGAGGAACCAGGGCCTCGGATTTCGAATTCTTGAAGTGCAAAGGGGCTTCAGAAAGGCTCCGAAGTTGAAGTTGTTTAGGGCTTTAGGGGTTTAGGGTTTAGGTTTTCTAGGGGTTTAGGGTTTAGGGTTTTAGGGTTTGGGTTTTTTAGGGGTTTAGGGTTTAGGGTTTTAGGGTTTAGGGTTTAGGGTTTAGGGTTTTAGGGTTTAGGGTTTAGGATTTACGACTTAGGTCTAAAACAACATAAACATGACGTGGCTACGAATGACAGTGTTACAACGGATCAGGCGTTAAGGCCGTCAAGGCTTAAGGCTTTGATGTTTAACGTGCGGGGCTGTTGGTGTCTTTTGGGGCTTAGGGTTTAGGGGTTTCGGGTGTCGTGCCCCATCTCTGGGTTCCAGCTGAAACTCAAGATCCAACACCCGGGAGAATTCCTGCCGTTTCGGTCCACAGATAACACAGACCCTCAGGTGCGCACCGTCAAAACTAAATTAAACTGCTAACCCATGGACCAACACCCATAAAAAAGCTTCAATCCCTAAATCCCACACCGGGGCCTTGTTCAGAGGAGTTCCATCCGGCAGGTAGCCCACGTCGTTCACGAAGTTTGCACGGGGCAGAGGGGAACCGGGGGCATGACCTGCGAGTGTGGCAGGCTTCGGGTTTCAAGTGTTTGGTTTACTGTTACGTCGGGTTAGTCATGGTACAGCGACCCACCATATCGGAAATTAAACACGACCTTGACAGTGGCACGAAGCAAAACGGCAGGCTGTGAAGGCGATAGCATCAAACCTTCCTTGCCAGCAACAGGTAGCTAGCTACCCTTGTTACGGCACCGAGCGACCATCGCAGCTGACGAACACACGCAGGAACGTTCACACACAGACATAGAAACAAAATGCACGCACTTCTCCGTGCACAACATGCATGCATGCTTGCATACATCCATGCATGGGAGGAGGGCTAAGGCTTTCGGGCCCATGGCAGGGCGTTGATCTGCCCTGGTCCAAGGCACGATCCGGCTGGATGTTCTCGGGATGGTTGATGGCATTGCCTGAACCGGCTCACAAGTCTCTAGGCTCTTTCAGCATGCGTTTGTTTAAGGCTTTGCCTTGCATGAGCCTCACAATGACGAGGACGGTCGAGGTCATGGGAATTATAAGTAGGACTGCCTGAGCCTTAAAACCTACCTGTAGCCTCCACTGTAGTTCCTTTTGGGGGATACCGGGATTCCTTATAAAATCCGTAATATAGAACTGGCCCAACCCAATAAAAGGAACTACAATGGAGACCATAGGCATATCATATCGGGCTGAGCCACGAGCTCACTTTGGACTCCCGCTGCTTGAGACACGAGGTTTTTCTACTAGTAGGATCTGTATCCCGGGATAGCCCAAAAGCCAACGAGCCGAGCCCTAAAGCATTATAGGGTTTAGAGTTTAGGATTTTG